ATTATACATGGAGATCATATCCCCCCTTATGTATTATACATGGAGATCATATCCCCCCTTATGTATTATACATGGAGATCATATCCCCCCTTATGTATTATACATGGAGATCATATCCCCCCTTATGTATTATACATGGAGATCATATCCCCCCTTATGTATTATACATGGAGATCATATCCCCCCCCCTTATGTATTATACATGGAGATCATATCCCCCCTTATGTATTATACATGGAGATCATATCCCCCCTTATGTATTATTATACATGGAGATCATATCCCCCCCATGGAGATCATGTATGTATTATACATGGAGATCATATCCCCCCCCTATGTATTATACATGGAGATCATATCCCCCCCCCTATGTATTATATACATGGAGATCATATCCCCCCCTTATGTATTATACATGGAGATCATATCCCCCCCCTTATGTATTATACATGGAGATCATATCCCCCTTATGTATTATACATGGAGATCATATCCCCCCTTATGTATTATACATGGAGATCATATCCCCCCTTATGTATTATACATGGAGATCATATCCCCCCTTATGTATTATACATGGAGATCATATCCCCCCCCCCTTATGTATTATACATGGAGATCATATCCCCCCTTATGTATTATACATGGAGATCATATCCCCCCCTTATGTATTATATACATGGAGATCATATCCCCCCCCTTATGTATTATACATGGAGATCATATCCCCCCTTATGTATTATACATGGAGATCATATCCCCCCCTTATGTATTATACATGGAGATCATATCCCCCCTTATGTATTATACATGGAGATCATATCCCCCTTATGTATTATACATGGGAGATCATATCCCCCCCCTTATGTATTATACATGGAGATCATATCCCCCCCTTATGTATTATACATGGAGATCATATCCCCCCTTGTATTATACATGGAGATCATATCCCCCCTTATGTATTATACATGGAGATCATATCCCCCCCTTATGTATTATACATGGAGATCATATCCCCCCTTATGTATTATACATGGAGATCATATCCCCCCCCTTATGTATTATACATGGAGATCATATCCCCCCTTATGTATTATACATGGAGATCATATCCCCCCCCTTATGTATTATACATGGAGATCATATCCCCCCTTATTATTATACATGGAGATCATATCCCCCCTTATGTATTATACATGGAGATCATATCCCCCCCCCTTATGTATTATACATGGAGATCATATCCCCCCTTATGTATTATACATGGAGATCATATCCCCCCCTTATGTATTATACATGGAGATCATATCCCCCCCCCCCCTTATGTATTATACATGGAGATCATATCCCCCCTTATGTATTATACATGGAGATCATATCCCCCCTTATGTATTATACATGGAGATCATATCCCCCCCTTATGTATTATACATGGAGATCATATCCCCCCCCCTTATGTATTATACATGGAGATCATATCCCCCCCCTTATGTATTATACATGGAGATCATATCCCCCCTTATGTATTATACATGGAGATCATATCCCCCCCTTATGTATTATACATGGAGATCATATCCCCCCTATGTATTATACATGGAGATCATATCCCCCCTTTATTATACATGGAGATCATATCCCCCCTTATGTATTATACATGGAGATCATATCCCCCCTTATGTATTATACATGGAGATCATATCCCCCCTTATGTATTATACATGGTGATCATATCCCCCCCTTATGTATTATACATGGTACTAATAATACATTGTACCCGGGGGGGGGGGGGGGGGAGTGGATATATCTCTATCTGGAGTCTATACCTCTCCTAATAAAACAGAGGATTTTGATCACTTTAGAACACACAGCTTATGTATTATACTTGTGATCTACCAGATTACCCCCAGATCCTTCTCCACCATTGACACCCCCCAGATCCTTCTTCACCATTGACCCCTCCCAGATCCTTCTCCACCATTGACACCCCAGATCCTTCTCCACCATTGACACCCCCAGATCCTTCTCCACCATGACCCCCCAGATCCTTCTTCACCATTGACCCCTCCCAGATACTTCTCCACCATTGACACCCCCAGATCCTTCTCCACCATTGACCCCCCCAGATCCTTCTCCACCATTGACCTCCCCCCAGATCCTTCTCCACCATTGACCCCCCCTTATGTATTAGATCCTTCTCCCCCATTGATCCCCCCCCCCCCACTTGTACCCCCCAGTATGTATGATGCATATTCTTAGCCCCCAAGTGCAGAACCTTACATTTATCACCATTAGCCCTCATTGGCCCCATAGTCCCCCAATTACACAGAGCATTGAGGTCGGCTTGTAAGTTGGAGACATCCTGTAAGGACGTTATTCCCCGGCACAGCTTGGTGTCATCTGCAAAGACTGGAATGGGATTTATAATCTCACACCCCATATTGTTTATAAATATAATAAACAGAGTTCTTGATCCATACAAGAGGGGCCTCCTATAAATCTAAGTCTATACAGGAGAGATCTTCTATAGATCTGGGGTCATACAGGGGGGACCTCCTATAGATCTGGGGTCATACAGGGGGGACCTCCTATAGATCTGGGGTCATACAGTGGGGACCTCCTGTAGATCTGGGGTCATACAGGGGGGACCTCCTATAGATCTGGGGTCATACAGTTGGGACCTCCTATAGATCTGGGGTCACACAGGGGGGACCTCCTATAGATCTGGGGTCATACAGTGGGGACCTCCTATAGATCTGGGGTCATACAGGGGGGACCTCCTATAGATCTGGGGTCATACAGTTGGGACCTCCTATAGATCTGGGGTCACACAGGGGGGACCTTCTATAGATCTGGGGTCATACAGGGGTGGCCCATTAACCACAGCATCCCTAACATGCTCCCATCACCTGCAGCACCCATAATATGCCCCCTTCACTAATAGTATCCATAACACGATCCATTAAACAGAATACCCATCACATGACCCAACCACCTACATTACCTATCAGAGGACCCCATCATCCACAGCACCCACCAAATGACCCCACACATACCATACACATCACATGACCCCGCATGCACCCTAGAAATATCCCCTGTATCAATGATCCCAAAGCCATACAGAACAGACACCCCGAAAGCCTTCCAATTATCGGTGCGGGGGGGAGGTACCTTGTATTGGTGGTGCCAGCTGGAGGCACAGCAGAGTGAGGAGGCAGGCAGAGCTCAGCATAGTGACACCTGACAGTCAGAGGTGACAATGACAGGAGACTGAGGATATCTGTATATACAGAGCTTACCTGTATACTGCGTCATCACAAATGCCCCGCCTCTTGCGCAACCGTGACAATAATCTCTATGTATAGGTCTCCTAAAGGGTGATAATAATATCATTTTTGCATACATTTTGGTTTTTTACAGACTGTAGGTGCAGCTTTCATTTCCATGTTTTATAGCCGTCCATAAATATTTGTTGATGATTAAATCTCCAGCCTCTCCAGCGTCTCCAGGATGTCCCATTGGTGTCCATTTACCACTTCTCTACCGGACCAATTCTGACATCTCCCTCCTACATGTCAAATCATCATTTTCATTATTGCCTGAAAATGAAACCCAAAACACTGTATATATATTTAGTGGGTATAAAAAGTCTACACAAAGCCCCCTCTTAAAAATGTTAGGTTTCTGCGATGTAAAAAAAAAGAGACAAAGATAAATCATTTCAGAACATTTTCACCTTTAATGTGACCTATAAACTGTACAACTCAATTAAAAAAAAAACTGCATATCACTATAGACCCCATTTCACTATATCCGCTGTCCCCGGACCCCGCATTCACTATATCCGCTGTCCCCGGACCCCGCATTCACTATATCCGCTCTCCCCGGACCCCGCATTCACTATATCCGCTCTCCCCGGACCCCGCATTCACTATATCCGCTGTCCCCGGACCCCGCATTCACTATATCCGCTCTCCCCGGACCCCGCATTCACTATATCCGCTGTCCCCGGACCCCGCATTCACTATATCCGCTCTCCCCGGACCCCGCATTCACTATATCCCTCTCCCCGGACCCCGCATTCACTATATCCGCTCTCCCCCCGGACCCCGCATTCACTATATCCGCTGTCCCCGGACCCCGCATTCACTATATCCGCTGTCCCCGGACCCCGCATTCACTGTATCCGCTCTCCCCCACGGGACCCCGCATTCACTATATCCGCTCTCCCCGGACCCCGCATTTACTATATCCGCTCTCCCCCGGACCCCGCATTCACTATATCCGCTGTCCCCGGACCCCGCATTCACTATATCCGCTCTCCTCGGACCCCGCATTCACTATATCCGCTCTCCCCGGACCCCGCATTCACTATATCCGCTCTCCCCGGACCCCGCATTCACTATATCCCTCTCCCCGGACCCCGCATTCACTGTATCCGCTCTCCCCGGACCCCGCATTCACTATATCCGCTCTCCCCGGACCCCGCATTCACTGTATCCGCTCTCCCCGGACCCCGCATTCACTATATCCGCTCTCCCCGGACCCCGCATTCACTGTATCCGCTCTCCCCGGACCCCGCATTCACTATATCCGCTCCCCCCGGACCCTCTATTCACTATATCCGCTGTCCCCCGGACCCTGCATTCACTATATCCGCTCTCCCCGGACCCCGCATTCACTATATTCGCTCTCCCCCGGACCCCACATTCACTATATCCGCTCTCCTGTGGTCATATGCATTCTCCCGGACCCGGCTATTTCGACATATCGCTTTGACCAATCACAATGGCTCAGCGAATTGTGGGGCGCGGTGGGTGAACAGCACAACCGAACACCCGTACCATTTGTGTGTTCATCAAACACATGAACGGCCCATGTTCGAGTCGAACATGTAGCCCAACACTAGCCACTTGGATTGATTTTACATTACAGAGGATTGACTGCTGAAAAAAAAAGATACCGGGATGATGACTGTAGCTTCTGGCATCATCCCGGTATCTCCACTCTAAGTCCAGGGTGTCATGTGATGTCCTACAGGCAGGAAGTGGTTAAATGTTTAATATGATGTGTATTATGTTTGTATTATTTGTATCACTCCTCAAATACACTGTATTGCCACAAGTATTGTCCCGCCCTCCAAATCATTGGATTCTGGTGGCCCAATCCCCTCCATATCATGTGATTCGGGTGTTCCAATCCCCTCCATATCATGTGATTTAGGTGTTCCAATCCCCTCCATATCATGTGATTCAGGTGTTCCAATCCCCTCCAAATCATGTGATTCAGGTGTCCCCAATCCCCTTCATATCATGTGATTCAGGTGCTCCAATCCCCTCCATATCATGTGATTCAGGTGCTCCAATCCCCTCCATATCATGTGATTCAGGTGCTCCAATCCCCTCCATGGCCACAGGTGTGTTCAATCAAGCCCCTAGGCATGCAGACGGCTTGTAAAAACATTGGTGAAAGAATGGGTTGCTCTCAGGAGCTCAGTGACTCCAAGCGTGGTCCCGTGATAGGTGGCCACCTGGGCAATAAGTCCATCCGTGACATTTCCTGGCTACTAAATATTCCACGCTCAACTGTTAGTGGGATTATAACAAAGTGGAAGCCACTGGGAACACCAGCCACTCAGCCACCAAGTGGTAGGCCACGTCACATGACAGGGCGGGGTCAGCGCATGCTGAAGCGCACAGTACGCAGAAGTCACCAACTGTCTGCAGAGTCAATAGCTAAAGACCTCCAAACTTGGTGTGGCCTTCAGATGAGCCCAACAACAGTGCGTAGAGAGCTTCATGGAATGGGTTTCCATGGCCGAGCAGCTGCATCCAAGCCTTCCATCACCAAGTGCAATGCAAAGCGTCGGATACCGTGGTGTAAAGCATGCCACCACTGGACTCTAGAGCAGTGGAGACGTGTTCTCTGGAGTGACCAATCACGCTTCTTTGTCTGGCAATCCCATGGACATGTCTGGGTTTGGCGGTTACCAGGAGAACAGTCTTGCCTGACTGCATTGTGCCAAGTGTAAAGTTTGGTGGAGGGGGGATTATGGTGTGGGGTGTGTTTTTCAGGGGTTGGGCTTGGTCCCCTAGTTCCAGTGAAGAGAGCTCTTGATGGTGATATTTTGGACATGTTCATGCTCCCAACTTTGCAGGAAGAGTTTGGGGATGGCCCCTTCCTGTTCCACCATGACTGCCCACCAGTGCACAAAGCAAGGTCCATAAAGACATGGAGGAGCCAGTTTGGGGTGGAGGAACTTGACTGTCCTGCACAGAGTCCTGACCTCAACCCCATAGAACACCTTTGGGATGAATTAGAGCGGAGACTGCGAGCCAGGCCCCCCTCCCCCGACATCAGTGCCTGACCTGACAAATGTGCTTCTGGAAGAATGGTCCAACCTTCCCATAGACACCCTCCTAAACCTTGTGGACGGCCTTCCCAGAAGAGGTGAAGCTGTTTATAGCTGCAAAGGGCGGAGCCAACTCAATATTGAACCCTACGGACTAAGACTGGGGGGCCATTAAAGTTCATGTGCTGGAAAAAGCCGGCGGCCCAATACTTGGGGCAATATAGTGTGTGTGAATATATTAAATACTGTATACTAGGAGAGGACGGTCTGGAACAGATGGTGTGAGAACCAGGAATACCTGTTTATACATTAGAGGCGTGATGGGGGTCACCCTGGACATGGACCTCCATATGTATTCTGCTACATACAGCCCTCCATCATTGGAACACTAAGATAAGACTCTTTATTGTGTGGGAAAAAAACAAACAACATAAATATCCGATGAGTTCGGATCCATAATCGGATCAATACCTAATAACATATAAATATCTGATGAGTAGAGATCCACAATCGGATCAATGCCTGATAATATATAAATATCTGAGTACGGATCCACAATCGGATCAATGCCTAATAATATATAAATATCTGAGTACGGATCCACAATCAGATCAATGCCCAACAATATATAAATATCCGATGAGTACGGATCCACAATCGGATCAATGCCTAATAATATATAAAAATATCTGAGTACGGATCCACAATCGGATCAATGCCTGATAATATATAAATATCTGATGAGTGCGGATCCACAATCGGATCAATGTCTAATAATATATAAATATCTGAGTACGGATCCACAATCGGATCAATGCCTGATAATATATAAATATCCGATGAGTACGGATCCACAATCAGATCAATGCCTGATAATATAATAAATATCTGATGAGTGCGGATCCACAATCGGATCAATGCCTAATAATATATAAAGTGAAACAGCTATAGGACATCCTATGCACAACATAAATCATATCACAGGAAAATGGCGCCCATCCACATGCAGTTTCGGCACAATGTAAACCTGGTATTAAAAAATATGACTTCAGCTTTGTCCCCTCCCATAAAGATGAAGCCATTTTTATTCATATCAGGTTTACAGTGTGCCAAAACTGAATTTGGATGGGCGCCTTTTTTTTTTTTTTAGATGCCGCAGCTGATATATAATCTAAAACAAACAGTTGAATGGAAAGTTGTTGCCACCCTGAAATGGCGGGCTTGTGGAGGCTTTCTCCTGACTCCTCCAGTCAGTATACTCTGTACATACGTGGACTAACACACAGGATTCACAGACCACACACACACAGGGCTGTGAAGGTTGTCCGTGACTTCCAACCGAGCACACGGGCACCGGAGATACCACACAACTCCACACACCGCAATCACGCCGTGACCCGGCCATCGTCATGCAGTCTTTGCAGCAACGAACACCAACCTATCAATTCTCAGATTTATTATCCCTGGCCGGGCGTAAAAGGGAAGGAAAGAGAGAAGTTACAAAGTGAGACATAATAGTATACAATATTACAATACAATGATAGAAGGATAGAAAATATTCCCCTTCTCCTGGCATTGAATAGAAATTGTGCCCCCCCCCCCCCCCACACCCCCTTCACCACCTACCCCCATGTAAGAAATCTCTGCAGGGGTCTCATTAGTGATGGGTGGTGTAATATATCCTGGGGGAGGGGTGTCAGTGGTGATGGTGGGTGTGATATATCCTGGGGGGAGGGGTGTCAGTGGTGACGGTGGGCGGGTGTGATATATCCTGGGGAAGTTTGTCAGTGGTGACGGCGGGTGTGATATATCCTAGGGGAAGGGGTGTCAGTGGTGATGGTGGGTGTGATATATCCTAGGGGAAGGGGTGTCAGTGGTGATGGTGGGTGTGATATATCCTGGGGGAAGGGGTGTCAGTGGTGAGGGTGGTGTGATATATCCTGGGGGAGGGTGTCAGTGGTGAAGGTGGGTGTGATATATCCTGGGACGGGTGTCAGTGGTGACGGTGGATGTGATATATCCTGGGGGAAGGGGTGTCAGTGGTGAAGGTGGGTGTGATATATCCTGGGGGGGAGGGGTGTCAGTGGTGACAGTAGGCGGGTGTGATATATCCTGGGGGAAGGGGTGTCAGTGGTGACGGTGGGTGTGATATATCCTGGGAGGGTGTCAGTGGTGACGGTGTGGATGTGATATATCCTGGGAGGGGTGTCAGTGGTGAAGGTGGG